CCAGATGGTTTTCTGGGTGCAGAAACCATCTTTTTCTAGGTGCAATCATTTTATCAGCAGCTTTGGCTAACCATCATATTCCACCATCATTTTCTAGCCTTGCATATTCTCCTTTGACTGTTATATGGTTCCCCTATTTGAGCCTCAAACCCCATCTTGATTCACCATGCATATGGCATGTGTAGCTATGACAAGCTGTTGGGGACAATGTGTCACCTACTCTGGGCAGCATGAGACACAGGGTGGCAGAAGACAGGAACAGTGTTCAGAGAGGTTGTTTAGTCTCCGTCCTTGGAGATGCACAAACCCAGCTAGACATGGCCCTGTGCAACCTTCTCTAGCCAGCCCGGGTTGATCATGGGGGATTGGACAACAGGATGCCCAGAGATCCCTTCTGAGCCAAAGTTCTGTGGCTCCGTGGGCTTTCATTACAGTTTCCATAACGGTGTGCTAAAAAGCAAGAAATTCARCCTGGGAGTGGGATTCTGGAAGTTCTTCTAATGTTATTCATGAATAAAGTGAAAAAGTTCAAAGCAAGGCTGAAACCCCTAAGAACAGTGAGATACTTAATTTTGGTAGAATGCTTGTTAGAATCTTTCATCATCATCCCAGGCCAGCCCCYCACATTAGCTCTTTTGTCCCCACTCTCACTGTCCACTGACTCAGTTCCTACAAACCCAATAGTTACCAGTGTTGTCTCTGTTAACTGGCCTCGCTGCTGAGCTTCCAGGTCACTCGCTCCTTGCTTTTTAACCCTTCACAAAAACAGGACCTCAAATGTCAAACCAACAGGGTAGGTAAGATGCACATGTATTCCCAGGAATTTAAAAACAACCTGCCCTAATCTCTTTATGTGTTTTAGGGAAYACATATTAGGAGCAGGGTTTATGGGGCATTAAACCTAATCACTCTTCTCTGCAGGTGACTCTGAATTAGACTGCTGCGCAGCATGGCTTAGTTTTAAAGAAGTCTCGTATCTCTGGGACATTGTGAAGCATCATGGAGGTGGAAAAACACAGCTTGCATAAATAGAGATGAAATTCTTGAACATATGTGCCAGAATGCTAAAGTTTGGCACAACTGAAAGGATTACTTATGTCTTTAAAAAGTAAAAGCTGTGAAGATATCAGGCACAGGAGATTTTTCAAGATCTGAAGCCAACCTGCAGAATAGATGGGAGATAGGTGGCCTTAGAGTGGCAGGAGGGACTTCAGGCTTCTTACTATTAGATAAACAAGCAAATAGATGCAGTAAGTGTCAAGATTCCCCCATAATTCCTACATCAATAGCTTTATACTGGAGCAATGGGAAGGAATCTTGAGGACATAAGAAAATCTCTCCTGTGTCAGACCTTTAGCCAGTGTTCTTGTCTGCCAAGGAGGCAGGCGGACACTGCCCTACTGATACTTGGATCTTGGTAAAAAATTTAATAACATCTGTGAGGTAAAGCACAAGCAAGACTATGAAGCCTAAAAGCCAGAAGGAAGTTATTGCTCCTAATCAGCAGAACCAGATCTTTGCTGGTAAAAAGCATGAAAATCATTTTTCAAATCCCACGCTCTGGAAGGAGCCCATTCTGTACTTGCTGTTGTGTCTGTGTGGAGATACGTGTGAGCTCTCTCTGTAGTAGCTTACCCAGAAAAGCAACTATGACAAAACACTGTCTAAAAGCCCACCTGCCTCCCTGTCTTTGCAATTGCCATGGAAGTGTCGTTGCACCACCAACCYGCCTCCCAAAATGAGGTGAGGCATAGCGCCAAGAACCCATGTCTACAATACAAGAGGTAAAACAGCCTTCTCAGATTCCCAGAGCATCTTGAGAAGTTGCAAATCCTGTTTTACTTGGGCTGAGGACTTAAAGGAAGGATTTGAGAAGTGCCATGCTCATACAGAGGAAAAAGAAATGACCAAAAGAAGTAATGGGTGTTTGAAGGACTTTTTCCTTGAGGGCAAAAGCGGGTGGGGAGCAGTAAATATGGGAAACATGTAACTAACCTGGTCTGAGAACATGAAGTGCCCAATTATATTTCAAGCCAGGTGACAACTAAGGGACATAAGAAAGGCTGCCCTTGAGATGCAGGTCAGAAATGCAGTTAGCTCAGGAACTGTGACAGAAACATTGCTACGAAAATCCAACTCAACACAGGGTAATTAAATATTTTCTAATTTTTTTTTTTTTTAGTACGCTTCCAGTTGACATCTCCTTGCGCATACAAGACTGAAGGTCAAAATCAAGAGAAAGAACAAAACATGTCTCRGGACCTTATCTGCCTCCTGCATCTTACTTTACCATGTTAGTACGCACACGAATTCAAGCTAACATGGGTCTCAAAGTGACTTTGGTTATTCTATTACCATTTATCTGCCAAGCAAGCACTTGACTCAAAGTGACAGCTCAAAATCTGTGCCCTCTATTACTTTTCCTTGTTGAGAAGCAATTGCTATATCAGCAAGAGAAAAGTCACTGCAACGTTTGATTAATAATATATACCAATGGTCCAGACATTCAGTCAGAAGACTGAATTGTTAAAGAGATKAAATTTGTCTGCAATTTTCTCTTGGTCTAGACTTACTTCAGTCTATGCCCTTCCTGCTTTATGAAAGCTAACGTAAGAGAAAACTAAATACCTTACCTGAAAACTGCTTAAGAAAAAAAATCCCAAAGTTTGGGATTTTCAGCTGTTCTTCCTACAAACAACAAGCCTGGTTACTGATACAAGTGGATCAACCTCGGTGTTTGATAATGACAAGGCAGAGCTGCCAAGTACTGATTTTTATTTAAGGTGAAAGAATATAACAAAAATACAAAATCAAATGTCATCAAAGATGTGCAAAAAACGCTTCTCTTTTGACTATTGCTGTATTTCCCCATTGTCTACAATGAGATTATCCCTGGTTTATCCCCTTCATAACTTCTCCCCTTCAGGGAGTTCGGTTGTTCACTGATCCAGTGTTGTCTAGCCTTCATCATTCACTGTGGCTGGCAGCAGCAAAGAAGAATCCGCGTAGAACACAAAATTTTGTTCTTATCTGATGTTTAATACTTGCTATAAGATCAGAAAGGTCAGGACTGAGCATGCTGTTGAGGACAAACACACTTGAATTTACACACAGTTGGAGATAGGTGACGTGAAGGCCTGGACATGAAGACTACTGAGGCTGACAAATGAGAGCTGTGTGCTAGAGTCCCCACATGCTTCTAGTAACCATTTTTAATCTCTTGATCCTCTCACATCAAGACCAAAGGGTATAAAAGATGAAACTTGTTACCCTGGCCAGAGAGTAAGCATGRACAAGTAAAGTCATTAAAGTAAAACAAGGACCTGTGGGATGAAGATCTTTTTCAAGATCATAGCTAGGATCCAAATTTCTCTTGAACAACCCATTTCCACTCAGCAGCATTGCTGAACTGATCCATGCACATTTCTAGCCATGTGGAACAGCTTTGTTCTGATGAAAGATAAGCATGTATATTTAAGCTTTCTTGTTTCTGAGATTGCTCCTCTCCTCAGAGCTTCACTAGAACTAACACTGAAGTAAAAGTCAGGAGTCACAGGGAAGAAAGACAACAGCTGGAATGGGAGGAAGGGAAGATTGCGGAAAATGGGATGATTAGCAGAGGGGCTGGTGCTCGGGCGGGGAAGGAGATGCTCCCAAACTCCTGTGTGGTCCACAGGCTGCCTCCCCACACTGGCAGCTTGAGCTGCCCTTGCTCACACACCTGAGCACCAGGGACACCAATTACCTCTTTCTGCAGCTGCATCTGCAATTACTTCTGACTACACTGAAACAAAGACTAACAACCTTCCTACTGATAATCCCCATGCAGGGTTCCTGTCAACAACAGCCAGGAAAGCCCAGATAAGGCTACAGTTAATACGCTGAAATAAGGATGGGTCTCGTACCATTACCTCCTTCAAGGAACACACCTGAAATATTTATATTATCTATGAAGTTACCAGGTTGCTGCCCACAGCGGTCTCGTTATATCAGTACTTGCCTTTAACCATGCAAGAATTTACACGGGGCTAAATGTGCTGCTTGACATTTTGCATGAACTGTGGCCTGCGTTAGGAAGCAGCAGTTACTACACGCTATGAGATAAAGCCGACCACAGCCCTTACTTCCCAATGCCCATAACAGAAGCTCTACCATGACAAGCTAACAGGCTGTAGGAGAAGATGGCATTTATTTCCCTCTACCTTCTTTTTAAGTGTAAAACAACGCTTCTGTAGCATGCACTCCCTATTCTCAAAATATTAAGGCTCTTTTACCACTTGTCTTTAAAACCGTGGCAAAGACCCCCCCACCCAGGTCCCCTGTTTTGTCAGTGTACGTGACAGCTCCTCGCAGGCTGCTGCAGGTGCAGAAGCAAAACGSTTTTCTCCTCAGTGAGGCACCTCGGTGCCTCATGGATCACCCCACTCCTATCACTGATCATCACTCTTCAAAGACAGCCCTTCTCATAGCACTTTAGACTTGAGACTAGCTGAGACATCTGAAATTAAAGGCAGCAGCTTAGCAATGAAGTACCAAATGCGAGTGAGGAGAAAATTAGTGCACCCTATTTCATAACACTGGTTACGCTAGACAGCTGGGAAATGGGCCCAAATTTCTAAAAAATAAGATATCTGAGGATCTATATTCTCAGAGGAGGAAAATTATGCAGTGAAAGACGAGGAATGAATGTTCTACCAAAACCAGCAATAGATGATAGTTGAACTTCAGGCAGATTCTTTGAAACTGGAAAGAAGGGCAATTCACCTCCATGCCCACAGGCACAACTCCTGCGGCACTCATAGTGTGCTTGGATTTTCTTCTTTTATCAGAAAGCGAGTGAAAGAAAAAAAAAAAAAAAAAAAAACCTCTTCTCAAACTTGCACCAAATTAGTCAAGAACAACAGAGCCGAAAAGATCTGAAAGTGTTCCATTTTAGGAACGCTGAAAAAACAGCATATGAAGATCTTCAATACTGTAAAATTTCTTTAATGGATATAGCAGGGGAAAGTAAATGTGCAGAATCACAAGGAACAACAGCTCTTCWCTTGGTCGTCAAATCAGTAAGATGGTAAAAATACTCACTGGAACATTTTCTATGAAAAGAAAGATCGAGGGAACATACAGTACAAAAACAACAAAACAAACAAAAAAGCCACAAAAATGCAAGGTTAAGAAAATCCACATTTCTTACTGATTCTGTTAAGAAACTTTTTTTTTTAAATGAAAAGACTAGGCTTACAAAGTGTTCACACATCCAGGTGCATCTTCTCAAAATTAGACATATATAACTAGTCAAAATTTCTACATATTTCAAAATGAAGTTTTGCTAAATTGCTGAATATACCACAGGTGTGAAGAAAAAATAGTCATATATATTATTAACATCTGCATCAAAGTCTGTATTAACAGATACCTTCCTCCCTCCCCAGCCCTCACACATTACATATCTTCAAAATCTTTTTCAAGGGAAAACAAAGCAATCCTCATCCAAGAGTTCTCCACAGGAATGTGTCCGTTTCCTGCCAGCACCAACATCAGCTGCTTCTGCTGCATGCAGCTTTGCTTCCTTGTTGCCAGTCGTTTTACAAAATAGACAGGGTAGGAAAAAAAGAAATCTTTATTTAGGAACAGTAGCAACAACTGTTTTCAAATGGCAGTTCAGAAGAAATTCAAATACATGATCACAAATATAAGCAATTTACATCAGACAAAAAGACAGCTTTAAAAAGTGAAAAGGTAACATTTCACACTTAAACATCAACATAATTAACAAACATTTTACTACCCATAAGCACTTATAAGAAATTAGCTCTACAGAAGGAAATAAAATGCAAACAAGTATTTCAAGGAAGTCTTCATCCACTCAGGTGTATAACCGGATAAAAACAATCAATCTTTGGTGAAGGGAAACAAACCCAAAGGGCAAAAGAAAGCAAAAAATAGTCTTCCTGTAGTCTGCAATCAGAGCTCTGTTAGAAGGCTGTCAGCTTTACTCATTCTCCAATCTGCTGTAGGGATTATCAGAATCCTGGAGAAGACCTGTAAAATAAAACAGGTTCATTTCTATCTTCTTTTTGTTGTTTTTTGTTTACCAGCAGCAACACAGGTAGTCTATGAAACTAGGTAGCCTAGAAACATGGCCAGTCTGTATAACAGATTCAAAAGGCAGTTCTTGTCTTACAAAACCTGCTCAGTTAGCCAGAAGCTCAAGTACAGTAAGTTGGAAGTGTCCTTCAGCACTCATTCCTCAAACTAAAATCACAAATGGGTATTTCACCATTGAGCAGGGAGCAACATATTGCTCTGTGAAAGACTGCGAGGAGAAAACACTTTTCATTTGTGCAGTGCACCCTGCAAAAYGTACTTAGACAGCAAAGCTCACAAGACAGTCTGGGTACAGAGATAGCTCAGGAAAGGCAGAGGCAGACCAGCCAGTTTATAAAGCGGAGTTCTCCCGTTAATACCTAAGGTGCTGTGATTCTGCCCTAATTCTACTCGAGCTCTGCACAAAGCCCGTGGGGAAGCGGTGCAGGGCGCTCCGAGAGGCTTCAAACCCCGTGGCCAAGCGGCGCCGGGCTGGGGCCCCCTGAAAGCAGAGGAGCCCCGTGGAGCCCAGAGGCAGAGCTCCTGTTGGGGAGGAACAGAGAGGATCTGCTACCTTCCGTGCCAGCTTTGGTGTGCTRTGGTGTGGTCTCTTCCCCAGCTCTTCTGCTTAGGGGATGGCRAGAGGAGAGCGCCAAGAAGCCACTGCACAAACGCTCAAAGACGGGGCCAGTCACCCAAAGCTCGCTAGGAAGCCCCATTAGGTCTTTCCACAGCACCCTTCGTTCCCGTGTGCCCCCACGCTTAGATGCTGAGCTCCAACTCTCCTGTCTGCAGCTCAGAAGGTGGCAGCGCCACAAGCAGACAACATATAATATGCAAAATAATWAAATATACACGTATGTTTTAAACCTTTATGCAATAAAGGCTGACAGCGCTGTCAGGAATTATCCACAAYATTTTGAGTTACTACTTTTTTTGTGTGGCTCTAATCACACCTTTCATTTGTTTAAAACAAGTGTCATATATCTGCAGACTACTCTGACAAGTAAGCTAATACACAAAAATACTTCCAGAACAACATTATGATCTCTCCKCAGACATCTTAATAATTCTGTAGATAATTTTAATACACTCATAAAGTTAAGATCTATGGATCGATATATTTTATTAAAGAGAACTGTGTATTTTTTCTGCAGCACTTTTGTATTTCCTACCTTTACAATACTTTAAAAAAAAATCTATACAATATTCACAGAAAATTAGCAACAATATTAGAAATTAAAATATTAAAATATTTTATGACAACCAGCTCTGCAATAAATTCCTCTTGGAACTCCAAAGGCCAAAACTTCAAACTCCAAAGTAGAGAGAGGTGGCACAAAGTACAGAGAGGTGGCATAASATCTATGGCAAAACTAACTTTGGCATTTATGTATAGCTTTTATTTTGAAACAAGATTCTTTGAAGGCGCCATTAAAAATGCCTTATGGTAATCAAAAATGTTCCCCATTGTAGCTGAGTTTCACAGACAAAAAGCACAACCATGAAAAAGTTACTTTCTTGCTGAAAGGGCACTGACATCCCCCCACACACACACACACACAGAATTATAGGCACCTGATTTTATTTAGCTCACATATTTCTCTTTATGGAGCCTGGTAAGTGCTTATTATCTGCCTTTCATATAATTCGTTTGAAACGCCCATCTGACACGTATAGCTCTGAAACGAGCACAGCCCAACCCTGGGCTCTGCTGCTGACAGCTTAAGCAGTTCAGACTCSATTCAGGGGCTGTTTTGCATCCAGCAGTGCCAATCTCAGGCTGGAGTTGGGAAACTTCTCTGCTGTGCTTATTTACCTGCASATCCCTCCCCGCACCACGAGCTGCCTCAAGCAATGAGCCCTCTTACTCCATATGAACGTGTCATTTGCACTGTTACTACAAATGTTATTCTCATTAATACTGGCTTAGTTTCACTGAGCTATAAGGTTTAGCAATGAACTAATGGAATGAATTTCCACCCATTAGGCATTATTAGTGTCACATTATTATTGTTACAATTTAATTTCAAGTTCAGCGCTCTGATTTACTGCCTAATAGTGGAACCAAAAGCTCAGACCTTTGGTTCCTGATGACAAAAGACAACGACATTCCAAGAGGAACGTCCCTTTCCCAAATCACACATAACCACAAAAGTCACAAGGTCTGCTAAGCCTTGTTCTTACTCTTGCTCTCCAATCTACATCCAGTGTTTAAACCTTTATCTTCAGCCCTCCAAGGATGTTATCCCATTAAGAGTGGGAGACAGGGAGCAGCTCTCACTGAACATGGTGCCTCTGTCCTGCATGGGCACGTGCAGAGAGAGGCACAAAAAGAATGGGAGCACAGTTCTTTATTTTCATACTGAGATTGGTATCTAAATATGTGAGAAAAATGAGGTTAAAATCTAACATATACTTACCTATATTTAAGGAAAAAATGGAAAAATTGAAAGGTATAATGGACAAGAATCTTTCATTAATCAATATGAAGTAATGAGGTCTCTTAATACCCCTTTCAAATACATTCATGCTACACACCATGCTAACAGCACAGGCTCTCAGCCATGCAGACCTGATCCTCATGGTTCAGCAGTGTGGCCCCAAGGTAGAACTAACAAATGAAATATGAAAGGCTGCATATACTGTAAGAATGGAACCAAAGTGGGACGCTGCAGATCTTCACCTCTAATTACACCCTTCCTCTTRCTTTCAACTCCCCCAATTAATAACTCTATGCTTAACACACAGCAGACTATAGTTTAGGTGGGCAGCAAGACAACATTTGTCTGCCCTGCATTAAGAACTCTAGAGAAGGTCGAGGTTAGGAAGCCTCTCTCCTGAGCAGAAGGATTAWTTGCTGTGATAAAATCCTACATATMAAATTAATGTCATATGTAAAATAAAGGAAATAGGGGTTCAGTGTCATTAAATTAGCTATGAGAAGCTTTGTAGATTTGAAGCAAGTGGTTTGGAAGMCCAAAATCATGAAACACAATAATTTTGTAAAAATGGAGACACATTCCACTTCCAGTAGTATCAAGCAAAATGCTAAAGCACATAAAGGCCAAAGCAGCTTCTTGCTAATGCTAAACCAAATGCACAATAGCAGCAAATGCAGCAGCAATTAGGTTGCATCTCCTTTGTATGCTACACAAGCTGCAAAATCGCCTGAATTCCACTTTAAAATTTTCTAACAGTCAACATATAATTTGYGTAATCATTCTGCATTCATATCTAAGAGCAATCGAAAAATACTATCAAATTTTGCAACAAAGAAACAATTCAAAGTGAATACTCCTGGCTCCTAAAGCTCTCTATTGCTTCCAGTGCTCCCAAGGGATTGTGGCTAAAGTGACACCTGCAATGCATTATAAATGTGTAATTACCATTTAAATGGAATAAGGAAAGCTGGGGGATGAAATGGGAAAAAGCATTCCCTTCAAGCCAGGCAAACACTGAAATTTCAGGCATGATCATCTTAATCTACAGAGTCAGGTTAACAAAGTCACTGTCATTCTGCCACTCAGGCACTCCCACTTAACAGTGAATCCACTCTGCAATGAAAAACTGTGCAAAATAATCTAGTGTTTCCATAATTATTCACAGTCATTTTCATTAGGCTGCGTTTAATATGCTAACATATGTATTTACTAGACAGGGAAAACGAAGAGAGAGAAGCCAAAGCTATCAGAAGACCTCTTGAATTCTTACTCAGTCTCCCTGAACTAATTTAATAGGTACTTCTCTGCATATTATCAGACTATAAGATAGATTTGCAGTAAATTAATGGTTTTGTGGATTTCTGAATTTATGTGTATTGTTTTTTATATTTCTTTCATTTTTCTTCAGTTTTATACATCCTTCCCATATCTGCCAACTATTCATATACTATTCAGGTTCCTCTTTAGGGACAAATGATGAATATGAGAATCCAGGTCTCAAATCAGGACATCTCATAGCATAAATTATTCTATGCTATACACAATAGGGCAAAGCTGTCAAAAAGTCARCTTTGCAAGCAGCAAATCTGCACACAGAAATTTGCTAACGAAGTTTGAGTCYGATTGTTGAAATATGATTTTTGTGTGATAACTGCCCTGCAAAACATAACTACGTGAAGCGCTTGACTCCCTCTAAGGCAGAGCAGACCTTCCATTAACACAACGACCATTATGAACTTGTTCTTCATTAAGTCACTGACTTAATTAACTGACCCTAACATGCATCTAGTTTCACCTGCAGATTATAACCATGAAGGCAGCATTTTTAAATGCTACTCTGCTGCAGCGCAGTGCTTTGATATCCTACACAGAAGTCCTAGCTTCAGGACCCAGTTTGATTCTCGTGCCCTGCGCTGGGTGAAGATGAGCAGTTATGTGGGTACCTGTACAGAGAGGGGCACATTATTGTGGAGACAGAGCCACATCTTAAATGTCCAGGTTCTTTCACCAGATCTATCCTAATGCTTCAAATTCATCAGCATTGACTGCAAGGCCTTTTCTAAGAAGCAACAAACGAAAGGTGCATGTTGTTCTATGCTTTTCCCTTTTAAATATGGATTATTCTCAACTGCTTGGCTCAAACACAACTTACAACCAGGCTATAATGCTACAAAATATTGCAGGATTGAAGTTCAATATTTAACCAAACGTACTTTCAATTCCTACAGCATTCTTCCTCCTCCTGCTCAAGGCACACACTGATTTTGTCCTCCATCTCAAAGCAGTGCATTATTGCAAATGTTCCCCAGGCAGAGAGTCTCCTACAGAGTGCACCTGTATCACCCTTACAGCACGAGGGCACACTGCAGACTCACGAAGGCAATCCCAACTTTTTGTAATGAATTTTACAKAACACTGAAAAGTAACCATTTTCAGCAACTGTTCAGATCCATCACCACCTTCTCTGACATTAGTCCATTTGTATTAAAAACCTGCAGCATAGTTTTAGCCTATCAGCCCCTGAACGCACAGTGCTATTAACCTTCTGAACAAAACAAAATAAAACTTGAGACTGACAAGCAGAGATAATGAGAGCCTACGATGCAGTAAATCAGGCCCTACAGTCATAACAGCATGACTTCCCTACTGTATCACAGGTCCATTAAATATATATATATATATATATACACACACACATATATATGTATGTGTATATCCTAAGTTAGGCTGCCAAAGGTCTATCTTTGATTTCAGCCCGATTTAAAGTTCCCTAGCTGCTAGTCACTCTGTCCTCCTTAAACAAGCATGATTCAACTAGCCAATTTCAACCAAATTGTTTTATCAAGTTCAAATCCGACAGATATTTACGGTCCTACAAGTTTTCTGAAAAAAATCAGAGGGCCTATTTAGGGGAATACAAATAGAAAGCCATGCTCATGCTTACAGAGAGACGGAAGGAAGTATTTATCTTATTAAATATATTTAATGCCCCTGCAAACACCACCTAGGACCTTGTCTCTCGCCCGGGGGAGAGGTAACACTGCAGGAAATGCAGGGCACACCAGTGATGAGAGCAGGTATTCTGCTCACAGGAGACTCTCATCAGTAGGAAAGAGTGATTGATTAGTTCTGCTCCTCACAGAGGAGCTTGTTTCTGCTGTGAATTTTAATAATAATTAGGACAAGGGAAAGAAGAATTCATCTAGATACTGATTAATGAACCAAGATTACTACGTACCATACTTCCTGCGTATTTCATCATGTTTCATTTTTCTCTCATGTTTCCTACAACAAAGAAAAAATGGCATCARAAGACGATTCAAATTATTTTGAGCTGTAAGCAAAATATGGTAATTACATCAGTCAGACAACATTTTTTTAATCAGTATGCAATTAAGAATTTCCAAGACATATTTATCAGTTATGAATTCTACCTCTGAGACTCCCTATAATTCCTCATTAATCAACTGGGTCACTGAGTAGGGTATATTTACAAGCAAAAATAAATATGTTGGCTTTTCTATATCAAGGTAAAGTACCTAGATATATATGTGTATAAACACAMATGCACACAGGTATTTGTCTATATGTAAGGTGCAGTAACAGAAAATTCCCTAATTCTTTGCCAAGGGAATTGTAAGTGTAAAAGTCAGCTTTGAAAATAATGTGCCTCAGTTCTCTGCAAAAAGAGGAGAAAAAATGAAAGCAGGTTAAATGGAAATCATTCCATCATTTCTAGAAATAACTCCCTTCATCACAGCAGTTGGAACATATATTTTGCTTTGTTGATGAACAACAAAAAAGCTCCCACAAATCTGTTTCACTAGGATGCTCCTGGATCTTTATTATCAGGAAAAAAACATGGCAAAGGAGCAAAGGAACATTCTCCTAAGCTATTTATTGCCCTATCAAAAAAAAAAAAAAAAAAAAAAAAACCCACACCAACCTGTCTCTATCAAAATTCAACCCAATTAGATGAGTTGTGACTTTCCCAGTTCTAATTTGCACATATTCAGCAGAAAGCTGTTATGAGCTGACAGCTTAATTCACCACAGATCCCATCTGCCCTATGCATATTCCACCTCCAAACAATCCCTGCAGCTMATCGGATCCTGTGTCCTCTAAAGCAATTACCCTTTTTCCTACAGAACTGAAGGGCTGAACTGGCCTTTCCCTGCCAGAAGTCCCCGAGAGCTGAAGCCTCAGTAGGTCACTAGTCAACCTGACTCTGCCCTCAACACAACAAGCACCAAGTGTGGCAGGAGSGGAAGGAAGGAGAGGAAACACACACACAAACAACAAGAAAACAGGGCTGTGAGACCTTAAATCTCAGAGACACCTTAGGATACCTCCCTGAACTACTGAAAACAAGTATGCCCCCCACCCCCTTCCCAAGTTTCTTCCATTGCTTAAATATCAGGAGGATAAAACCATTAGTACCTATGAGGCATTCAGAGMCTGACAGGTAGCCAGTACTATATAACAGTGCCCACGACTAACTCAGCATACAGTAAATAAAACTTAGCCCCACATCAACAGAGAAGACCTAAACACAATTTCAAGTAGGCAGCCAAYAAATAATAAGCTAAAGGTGCCTTGCTGAACAGTTAACATCTTATATTAAGATCAATTAATATCATTATACGATGTTCTGATTTTGTCTCTGTTTCTTAACACTACTGCTATTCATCTTTCTGTATCCTAAATTTTTGGCTCTCAAATTGAGTTGCCTCCACTGCTCTAAATCAAGACAGTACTTGATATACTGTGTATAGTACTAAGATATATCATACACCCTGTATTTGTAGCTGTAAAGAATTAAACAAGGGTTCAGAAGAAGTCACTAGTCGAGGCACTCTTTAAGCACTGATTTTTTATGTTAGAGATGACATGAAATCAAATCAAGAACTGAGATTTATGCAATAAAATACCAAACTCCCTGAAACATTTTTCAGTTAGGAACCAAAATCCAATTTCCTTCCCCTCCTGCCCTCCATTATAAACCCAAACACTTCTTCATCAGGGGCTTTCAACCTTGTCAGTGAATGACTGCTYGTCTCTTCCTTCGGGTAATGGGGGAACAGCTTCATTCCAACCGCTGTCCAGCTTCATTCCAACCGCTACCAAGGTATTCCAAGGTCACCCTTCCCTCAGCATCCGCAGAAAAATGAATTTTAAACACAACTGCTTCATCTTTAGGCTTACAATACAGACATTCAATGTGTGGCTGAAAAGCTAAAAAATGCCAGGGATTGAAACTTGCATTAATTACACTTCYGCAGCTTGGGCTTCCTTGATGGTTTTGAGGGTTTACTAATGACAAACAACGGGAATGAAGGTGAAGCTCAGGCCAAGCCCTGTTCTGCTTCYGCAGCGAACTGCTCTCAACAGCAACACATGAAGTAGCTGTATCCCACAGAAGAGCCCAGCTAATAAGAGACACAGCAACATTCCTGTGCCTATTTCCTTCCATCTGAATGTCTACTTAYCTGAATAACTATCCAGTTGTTTTCAGAAATTATGTGAAAAACTTTACAGAGTGTACCCAGATTGCCCTTGCTCCTCACACTTGCAGACTGGAAGATGCTAAATCCAGTCGTGACTTGAACAACTCCCATTCTCTCAAGGGTATCTCTGCAAGAGGCCCATAACCTGTGTCATAGGGCTAAGTACATCAGATGGGTCTTAAACACAGCCAGTACAACTTAGCCTTAGCCATCACATAACCTCTTGAAAAATGGGGTCTGGATGTCTTTACATGACYGGTGGGAAAAAATGAAGGCCAAGTGCCACGAAACATTAAAAAGAGGGGCAGCTATAAAAGGGGTGAAAAACAGACTAGACATTGATGCCAAGTCAAACATCCCATACTGCAGCTGCAGYTGGAACTTCATTAAAATATTTTCTTTTAGAAAATCATATCTATGATTCTTTAAAAAAAAATCTATAGTTTGTTTATAGATCCCTATTTAGAGACAAACTTATTCACAGCCCATGAAACAAATGCCATTTCCATTAATTTCAAGTTCTCTTGTATTACTAGACATCATATGGGAAAAGAAACATGTTTTCCAATGGCTAAGCCATTGGAAAGAGTAGGTTCTTCCCTCAGCAAAAAGGAAAGCCCACACAGCACAATATGGTGCTTCCCTGTGGTGTGCTGGCCAAAAATGGCTTGTTGCATCAATGGCTTGTTGACTACCAGCAATTTGGCCTCCTAAGGACTCATCAGAAGCAAGTGGTGAAAGAGCAGGGCACTTGGGCCACCAGAAGAGGTCTATTCCCAGCACTGGCAGTAGGATACGACCCTACAAATCCCTCCCAAGCCACATAACAGGCACATAAAAGAACACAGGAAATGGCCAGGGCTGCTCTAAGCCTTCTCCTGCCACCAGAGCAGTTCATCTGATCCACAGACACTCTGATCTGAAGCACCCTAGGAAAGCAGGCAGCTGTACTAAGCTCTGGAATGGCAGTCTGCTCCCAGGGATCCYAATTCCCAGGTTAATGCAGGAATGGCCCGAGTCTTTGCTACCCACAYGTTGCCTGTGCAGGACGTGCTGTATACCACGTGCGCACAGCGAGCCCTGCAAGCAGGGAGCATCACGTTTCCTGCATGGGTACAGCTTAACTGGGCAAAGAACCTGTGAACCAGCAGAAAGGTTATGGCATGAAGTTATGCCCTCTGCTTACAAGCCTTTGCYTTAGGAAAAACACAGCTAAGCCCTGATTTTAGCAGATAAGGCAGTAAAATAATAAGGAYGTAAGTTTCTGCACAAGGCACAGGGATTTGACATACAACAAACGTCGATATTCTTTGCAGGATTCCTTCTCTTTACATTAAGACCACTTTGCTTTTGCATGTCCCTGTTATTGCTRCTGTTAGCCTGACCAATGCAGTTTTCAAACACAAGTAACCTGGTCAGACTGACAATTCTGTCTAGCTCGGGTGAATAACAAGTACAGCTACATGTCACGTCTGAATGATATTGAAATTTATGCCTCTTTGCTGTGCTTTCTAAAGGTAATATACTCTTGTTAGGCAATACCAGTGACAAAACCAGACAATGAGGGACTCAGCTTGTTGAGACCTTTGGGGGAAGAAAAACAAGCATCCTGATTGGGACTTCAGAAGAAACCAATTAATCTTATCAATCAATCCTATCAATTCACTCCAGTGTGGCTTATCAGGGAAAGAATGTTTCATATTGACTCTGGAAGCATCCATAGTATCAGCAAAATTATTAGAGGACATTTTACTATGTCTTTTTGAAAGGTCACATATAAGAGTTAACAGATGACAATAACCACCACACAAAAGTTTTCTGAGAAGATAATAAAAATCATAATGCAAATATCGGTATGCAAAGTGTGGGACTTGCACTCATAAAATTCAAATACCTGCAAAGAGACACTGCAGTAGATCAGGAGAGGAAAAAGATGCAAAACAGTTTATTTGTGTTTAGTTTGCAAAGCAACTCTGTGGTACTTTTCAGCAGTTTGGGAAAGACAGAGGAACGGCAGAACATTCTGCARTCTAAAATATCAACTATTTGATTGCTAACACAACTGCCGGCCTGGGTGTTTAATCAAACCAGGAAACTCTTGCTGAGATTAAATGTTACATTTTAAATATAAAACACTGCTTTCCTTCATTTCCCCATCCTCTTCATATTCAAGATAAATTAGTGAACTGTGAATTAGCACTAAGCGATTCTTTGTTTTAAAATAGTTTGTTTTAAAATAAGCACTTATGGCTTCTCTGCAAGGTCAGTTTGGTTTTGGTTTTCTTTCTCTGCTAGAACACTTAAAAAACCCAAACACTTAGATGCAAAGCACCACACCTGCACATCATACCCATCTGTTAGCTGGACAACACGGAGCAATGATTTTTGAGTGGTTTGCCCACAATACAGCATGGTTAGTCTCATGACACTAATGACTGATGGATACCTGTGAATAAACTTCAAGATTTTTTCACTTGGTCAATGGCTTTTCTGAGGACAGAAAATTATCAATGACTACTAGGAAAGACTAGTGCTGTGAGAACTGCATGCAGCAGTATTTCAGGAAAAGCAAACATCACAGATCTACAGATCTGAGCCAAGAGATGATGCAGCAGAAACACTGTATGGGCATAAAAGAGTTCTCCATGTCCTCAGCAAAATTTCTAATGCAGAAACTAATAGCACCTCACTAGCTAATGATACTAGCTAATACTATCTCACTATCAGCTTCTCCACCTTTCCCAAACAGGTTTTAAAAGAATGAGAACTGGTTGCCAAGCGAATCTAAAAAGCAGTTTACATCTCTGAATTCCTTGCCTCACCTTGGCATTAATCCCTGCCACAGGAATGCATCAGTTTTCGGGGGAGAACATCAGTGAATATCAACCAGTCTAAGGCACCTGACTCTCTGTGTTCACTCATGGAAAAATACCTGGGTTTGCAAACCCACTGGGCCCCGTTTTTTAAAAAACAGACTAAGTAGCATTATGGCTAACTCCATAACAACACCAGCCTCTGAGTTTTCCTCAGAAAGACAGAATACTTCCATACTACCAAGAACTGTGCAGCATGATATCAAAYTGACTAAACTTACCGCTGAAGAGACTGTAGCCTCCGTTCTTCTTTATTTCTTGCCAGTCTTTCCTCTTCTTCCTCTGCTCTGCTAGAAAAATGAAGACATGAAAGCTCATGAAATAAAAACAACTCAGTGCTAGACAGGGTTTAATCATTTAATTGATTTTCAGAAAAGATTTACAGCCTGCCCTCATACACAGACTTCAGAACTATGTAAAAATTACGCTGCYGAATAAGTATAATTTGTAGAATTGAAATTTGATATTTATAGTATTTGAATGTTTCATTAGCTGTAGCCATGTGCCATCCACAGGGCAATTTACAGCCTCTCAGGAATAGGCTGCAGACTTAGAATCACAGAATCACAGAATGCCCAAGGTTGGAAGGGACCTCAAAGGTCATCGAGTCCAACCCCCCTGCTCAYRCAGGGTCACCTASAGCACGTGGCACAGGGCTGCATCCAAGCAGGTTTTAAAGATCTCCAAAGAAGGAGACTCCACAACCTCTCTGGGCAGCCTGTTCCAGTGCTTTGTCACCCTCACAGTGAAGAAATGCTTCCTTAAGTTCCTGTGGAACTTCCGATGCTTCAGTTTGATAAAACTTGATAAAACTGTTCTAAAAATCACATCTCCCACCCACCATTTTCTCTATAGGTTCTGCTGCTTCACCCTCTTTGGTATAAGCCTACTGCACACATACAGGCAAGTAAGTCTGCTGGTGCCTCTTGGAAGAAGATTGATGGTACCTGAACCTCTGATGCCAGAACAATTTATCTTTCCAATAACCATCACTACTCAATCTCAAGTGCTAGACCTCCAGAGCACATCTGCACTGCGCATGTGCAGACATGCTCTACTGAATGTATGCATTACATACATGCATACATTCAGGCACATCACAGCAGGCAACCACTGGGATGCCATTAGGAATGCTTTGTGACCTATCCTTGAGAAAGCTGAGCTTCACCGAACCATTAAGGATGCCACAGAAGAACTGGAGGTCACTAAAGTAAAGGCCAAAGGGTATTTATGATTTGTGATTTGGTTCAGACAGAAGGAATTCCAGCTCTGTAGAGTCACTGAAAGGACACCTGCCATCCTTCTACGGGTGTAAAATCAAACGCGCTGCCTGAAGATGTTTGGCAGGACCAAGTTTAACCCACCTGCCTGTAGAGAACAGGGCAGCAACAGTGCCACCCGTCTGCAGTCACCAGCATGCAATTTAAACAAGAGTGACATCCAGTGGTTAATTGCAGCATGTAAAGATAGGCAATCAACTTGGGGAACAGAACTGGCAACCAAATTCACCTTTTCCATCTGAGTAATCAGGCCACACATGCGTTTGAACATATTTTTATGAACAACCTAATAATTCAGATTCTTTTTAATTATTTCATATACAATTTTTCTAATCCTTCCTTATTCATTTCTATCTAAAACTACCAAATTAATGGACTGATGGCACAGGATTCAGAATAAGTATTTCTCCACTGTATCAGTACTAACTATCCTCTAATTTCTATACACTTCAAGGACATTAAGCGTTTCTTCAAATTCAGAAAGGTTGGAACTAATCTTTATTTTTTTATTTTGACAAGCTGAAGAAGTTCAAGAGAAAGTATGTTCAGCACAGTTTCAGGGACAGTTTGTATTCTCAAGCCTGTGATTAGATTCTTTGGAAGGTCAAAGACACAACAAAAATAATGAGCTAAAACAGTGCATTTACAGTCCTAGAATTCCAGTCCTAAGATGAAGTCAGAGAACCCAGCTACATCCCTAGTATAAGGATTTATATTCCTAATTACTCCCTGTGTTCAAGGAAATAAGACGAGCTTGCTTCTTAAGCATTAAGATTCCTCAGCTTCTAAATTCCTGGAAAGAATATTAATGGTTTGATGGAACAAAGCTACACCCGAGTTTTTGAAAAGTCAGTAAAACAGATCTAATGCTACACTCCTGTATGTTTTCCTTCTCTCATTTACTTCACGCTTCAAATTTTATATATACATATATATATACATATATATATATATATATATATATATATATATACACACACACACGGAGAGGGAGCGGGAGGTCCCAAAGCTGAGGAAGTACAAAGCAAAAGGACTCCTGCTGAGAATCAGTGGATTTAATGCCAGTAATATCTCAGGCTTCCATGTAATAAATTGTGAAACCTCTGGAAATCAGCTGAACCTCACTCTGACAAGGTTTTTAAATCCTCTAAGTATCATAAGATCAAGTGAGGCACCTTCAGAGTCCTCACAGAAAAATACTCTCAACTAACACTCTGTTTTTAGCATTAGATGTTCCAGAACTCATGACTTAGCTACTAAAACGGAAGTCTGGCACAAGTCTTTTTTCCACAGGATTGAGCTAGATTTGTTGGCATGTCAGCCGCAGGGGCTGACACAGGTCTTCAAGAGGGTAGCTGGCAAATCTTGTATAAAATCCRAGTAAGTTTTATAGGACCCCAGGGCTTATCAGAAAAGAGCTACGGAGTCATCTGTTCTTCCACTAGCACAGAGTGGTACACTAACCTACCAAAAGAAGAGGTATGTGCTGTTTAAAATCATCTTTCCACTTCTTGAAGTCACTGCTACAACACATTCTACTGGCTTCTGTACAACTGCATTAAATTCCAAAATGAATGAGCAACAGTCACTTAGAACACTATTGTATTTTATTTCTGATAAAGAAAGATGGTCACATCTTATTTATGAGAAGTACTGCAAGACAAAAGAAGAGAGCTAGCTGTGAGTGCACGAAGGAACACTTGATTTCTGCAGAATTACCTTGCTTGAAAGTCAGTCACTCATCCTTAATATCTTATAGAAAAGGTATCATCTTCCATCTAGGTTATTTGGTTGAAATGGCAGAGACAGTTCCTCACTTAGATGCTGAGGGACTGCTGGAACCGGGAGCAAAGTCTGAAGCATGGGACAYGTCCCAGGGCTGTGGGACATTGTCCCATATTAACCGTCTTCCCCATGCCAGGCCCTTCAGCTTTACCACAAGCTTGGCTTGAAATAAATTTGTTCTGCTATAAGGAGAAGCAAGTATTTATCTGGCTGTTCAAGTACTTCATGTAGCAAGGAAAGTTAGAGGAAGGAAACCAATGTTTGCACTGACCTCCTGGCGCGGCGCCTCCTGCAGTAACAGCAGTAGCAGCAGCAGACTGCAAGGGACACCAGGATGAGTCCCGCGGCCACGGCTATGGCGATAAGCAGAGCCTCAAAATTTACTGAAAAACAGGAGCACATTCAGCTTGTTAGGGCTCAGCAYCAGCACCTCTTCATCTTCCATTTAACTTTTTCCCTCCTAAGACCATGTTTTTTTCAGTTCTACAAGAAGCAGTTAAMGAGCATACAGTTAGGAGACAGTGGCAGTGAGTGTAACCCAGTATCACACTCCCCAGCTGTCTAACTATTCCTCAGCTCTTCCTGGCACCACACAACTACAACTGTAAGGGAGAAGAAGAATTGAAGTAGCTCAGCATAAAACTAACACTCCCCAAGTCATTTTCTACATCCAAACAGTGATCAGAATATATGGGTGCAAGCTTGCTAGTAATCTTAACAATACATGCAACTATAAACTGGGATAGGATAGTATTCMAAAAAGAAAAAAACCTGCACACATAAACAAACTTCACACAAACACAAACTGAAAGTCTGAAAAAGAATGAGGCTTGGGAAGAAAGCTAGGGGAATAATATCATCAAAGCAGTTACAGCAACTTTAAAGAGCTATTTTAAAAGACATAACAAAGAACAATATGAAACTATTAAACTATTCAGGAAATACCCACACACACCAATCCCAACACATACACAATGTTTCTATTTTAAATTATGATGTAAAGTGTGAGGAGGGAAGAAGGGAAGGGAGGAACTGTCTCTTCTCACATCACACCTCAACAAAAACATGTTACCATTTCTGTCCAAAACCAAAAGTTGTAGCATTAACACTATTTTTATCACTATTCAACTATTTATTCACCTAATCCAAGGTGTTTCATTCCATAATTCAGCTTTAGAAACACTGCATTTCACTAAAACTTTATGACTGCTCCTTCAATATTTTACTGGTCTGGTCAACAAGCCCACTATCAATTAAAATTACTGAGGTTTATTGTTATGTGATAAGAGACAACATGCAGTCAAGTGGCATGTAATTATATAAATGATAAAGAAATAATTCATAATCATTAAAATGATTGATTAATGGTTAATTTCTAATATGCCATATTTAATTAAAAAATTGTATCTGAGAGCCAGTTATCTTTTTGAATTTCAAGGGCTGCAGTGTCCACCTTTGTTTCACCAGTGCCACTTCTGCCACTTTGCAGGAGGATGCAGAGTAAGGTCCTTTTAGAAAGGAACAGATATTCATAGCAACATATGGTCAATGTTATATGTTCAATACGTTAATATGAACAACTGTTCATATTCACAGGATTAACTATGAAATTGGAAGCCTAACTTCCTTAAAAATGTACCTTTTCTGTGAAACTCTTACGATTAGATTTTTAGTTCCTAGTTTTCTCTTAGAACAGCGAGCCCAAAGCAGAGAGAACATCTGCTAAGAACAAAGAGCTGCTCAAGTTCTCCTGTACTTTCCGATCTAGTCCCCTCCTTTGCGGGGATTGTATGAAGCAACAGCTTTCATAAACTTCCACACAATCCCCTTGCACAGCATTTTTATAAACCTAAACTACCCTTATACAAGACTACTGCAGGAGCTCACTGCTCTTGAAGGCAGCAGGGTTTTTTCTAATTTCCAGCTTTCAGAGTCATTGACAGTTCCCCTACACTTGCTTTTATCTTTCAGCCTCCTGCTCTTTCTGCACAAACACCCGACAACTGCATGCCTTTGCTTTGCTGGAGGACAGCCAAGCTCAGTCTTCTCCACCGACAGCCTTTCCAAGGTCTTGTTTGTTCTCTGCCCCCATCCAGGCAGAATTGACAATGGTGCACAGTATTCCACAAATAGCTCTAAAAAAGATCTTACCCCAATAGCTGCATATGCATTGCACTGTATTTTGCAGCAGGAAATGCAAGCAAAAGGAAACCTAGAAACAGTGAAATGAGGCAGTGCTCGATCTCCAGAGCCGCTATGCACTTTTTAACCTTAACTGCACAGCCTTCAGCATCCACAGCTTTTTCAGGATCTGAAGCAAAAACAGTAGTAAAGAATTTTCAGCCAGTTCCATTCCTGTGGTACTGGTTCACTGCTGTCACCACAGCAGACTGGAAACTGGGGAGCCAGGCAGTTTCTAGAAGCGTGCACATACACAGCCTAGGAAACGAGAAAGGTAAGAAAGGCCCTTCTTCAGCAACTAGACACTGACCTTAGCAGCCTGGAGTCTCAGATATACAGTTTAACAAACAGGCAAAACCTGTGCAATCACATACAGCACAGGAAACACAGGAAACATCAGGGATTTTCAAAGCCTGCACCTCAGTTGATCAGAAGAATCCTAACAAACAGCAGGTGTCTTAAAGCCATCACTTCAGTCTAACTATTTGAGTTGCTTATAAATCAAGAACCTTTTTCAATTTTTCTATGACTGTGTTTCACAGGTCCARAAGCTTCAAGAACATGGTTAAAATCATAAGTCCTGCTTTACCTCTGAAAATAAACTCTTACCCCTGAAAATAAACTCTCAGGAAAAGGTAATAGAAAAAAAAGAAAAAAAAAAGTCTTMGTTTGGCCCAAGTATATTGACATATTTCTACAGTAAAAGTAAAATTAGTACCTACTCCAGCAAACTCCCCATCGAGCATTTGAGAGGGAACATAAGGAAGATGATGGCAGAATACTTCTTACGGGGTAGTCGATGCAAGTGTTGTTTGTGTAACACCAAAGGCACTGTGTAAGAAGAAAAAGTTACATCTTCAGAAAATAGTTTAAAATTCAGTCCCACAATACAGCCCCTTCAACAGACAGAATTTGTCATCACTAAATGTCAGTCGTGGTATTTTTAGATAACACCTAATTCCTAGATGAGATCTTTCCACAATGAATCTTAAAAGAAATACCCTGTTCTGYCAAGGGTTCCTCTTACCACCATCCAAAACTTCTTTAGCAGTTGAGTTGAATAGTAAAGAGGTTTTGAATGAGTAACTAGTTTATCAGATTGAAAACAAAACTATCAGGAACATGACTCTGAGAAACAGTGACAATTATGCAGAGTTGATTAGCTTGCTCTAAAAGGTTAGAAAACAGTAAATAAAAAGGAAACTTTTTGTCCTAGATTCTKCACTCTTGAAACAACTGAAGAGACAAGAATAACTTACTCATATTTTATAACTGGCAGACTGTATGAATCACAAATATTTCCCAAAGACTCTTCAGCAGAAACAATCGAGAGTTCAAACAAGTTTGAACAAAAACTCTTCAAACAAGAGTTTGCACAAAACTACTCCCCTAGGACTTTATTTTAATCAAGGATGTTGGGCAGAATACACTTTTTTGGTTTACTTATTTAATAATAAAAATCAACTGCTCAAAAGTAATTAAGACTAATATGAGCTTGGCTAAAAATTAGCCTTGTGAAACTTGACTAGAAGCTAACAGTGACCCTGTCTGCAGCATGAGGCTGGACTAAAGGACCTCCTGATACCTCTTTAATCTGGATGATTCTAGACTGCTAGTGACATCAGGAGCAAAAAAAAAAAAAAAAGTAACTTCAAGTAACTATCAAAAATGTTGCTGCCTCAAGGGCAGTAGATGCTGAGTAACTGATCAGTGCAAAGGTTAAAGCAAGAGAGAAATCTTTCAATTGACTTATTCCTAATACTAAAAATTAGAGCCACTTTTCAAAAATTAGTTATTAAATAACACTTAAAAGATACATAAATAACAATACACTTACCTACAGAAAAGCAACTACACAGAATTACTTGATARAAACAACAGAAAACAGACACATAGCTACTCTAAAAACCAGACTAATTTTAACTAGAATTCACATTGCTTAGATTATGTCTATTTGACTGAGCTAAACAACATATTTGGGGATTTATTTTGTATTTTTTTAATCTATTTTTTTTCTGCTACCTCCTCCATTTATATTGTCTCTAATACAAGACACTAACTTTTCCTATTGAAGCAGTTAAGATTTCAGCAATCCTACACTTTTATTTTGCTTACACTATGCTATGGCTTTGTTCTGAAGTCCTTTTTTTTTAGTACAACTCTAAACTCATCTCTTCAAGGTCAGCACTAACGATGTTGCAGAAGTTTCACTGAATTATCCATCTTTCTGTCACCAGAGCTAGCCTGGACGCTGTCAGTGGTTTGACAGTTTCTCAGAATGATGCATCTACAGCTCTTCACGCCTTCAGCACACAAGCACATCCAAAGGGATTTTCTCTCAAGTGAACGTGAAGCCCTCAGGTTAGGAAAATTTGTACTTGTAGATCTGCTAATAAACTAGTCTCAGACCTAATACATTGGCAGCATCAGTCTCTGTCTGAATCAAATAGCTATAGAAGCCGTCCGTAGACTCACACTGGTAATTAAATTAATGACTGGTGTTTCTTTCATTACATTTCAGAAGATGAAGAGTTCTTTTCCAAATGCTATGTTTACGACAGAGTCTAACAGCACACAGTAAGCAGCCACCTCAGTACAAAGCAATTAATATTTTACCTTTTGTCTTAAAAAGGCCAAGAGATGTCTAACAAAGACACAAGCATAAACAGCTAGACTTTCTCAATTTTCCCTAGTGAAAAAGCTTAACTTTTGTAACGTTAARCGTTTATATTTATATTATATTACAAAATGTTAACTTTTGTAATATAAAGACCCCAGAAGTATTTATTTGCACTGACACCTAAAGTCAGAAACAGAGACAAGCAGGCACCTCTCCCTCGTGCTTTCACTGTGGCAGTTTTCCTCACTGTTGCAGAGAATCTGCAAGAGAGGCAGCTTTTGGTCAGCTACTCCTCCCCTTGCTTTGGAACTACAAACATTTTCAGCAATGCATAGAAAAGCAAGTCCAACTGCAGTCCAAGTCAACACCTTCCTTACTTGCAATCTCACTGGAAATCAAGACACTTAACTACGGAGTCAGTCATCTAAGCTGGTCAACTTAAGCACCTGTGGTCAGATGTATCCAAAGGGAGTCAGACAAGTCTAAGCACCTACCAAGCATGAGTCAGTCTGCCTCAGTTACCTTGCATCCCTACAGGCAGCTCTAGAGAAAAGCATCTGGAATGTACTTCATTTTCTAGCTTATCTGTTCTGAACAGAGGAAATACAAAGCATTTTATCCAGAGAGTATCTTGCTAAATGTAAAAACTACTAAGTTCTCATCAGTCAAAAAAGAGGTTAAAATCTTACCTACCGAGACATTTTTTAGACATTCTTCACAGGACTTCTGGGAAAAATCTGAACATGCTAGGAAAACAAAACACAAACAGATAACATTTATTTTTACTCAGTAACATCAAACACAGTATCTAAATTAGTGTTTTTTCTTCTATTAGGTACGTATCTATAAGCTTGCGTGCATTTATAAGAGGCAAACTGTTATATCAAACAGTTAACACAATACTAAAATTAGCCTTTTTCTCTTCCTTTAGGTATATACCTATCAYCTTAGCTTTACTTACAAATCAAAATTGTTGCTCTTCACATGCAAGTAATAAAAGTTCAAGATTTTGGGAAGGAGGGCAAAACTTTAAAGTAGTTCTCAATTTAATCCCAGAAAAATTCAAATAGCATTATTCTATATGGACAAGCAGATACCATACTTAAAATTAAAGACTTATGACTTGTAAACAAAGCAGCTTCCTAACCATCAGTTATAGAAGTACTGTCCTAAACATGTAGATATACCAAGTACTTCTTGAAACTTTGGGTTAAGTTGCGTTTCAAGCAACCAATGCAGGCACAGTAAAAAGAAGCAATCTAACGCTCATTAGATCCTTATCCCATGAGGAAGTTTCACAAGCTTTTCACAGCTCTAACTGCCTTCTGACTGAAAAAGCATAGCAGACAACCTGTAACAGTAGGTATCTGAAAAAATGGACTTAAGATATATGAATTCTATTATTTCTTTAGGCTTATAATAAATGAGCACCACACAGTGTTGCTTAATAAAAAATACTTTAATATATATAATTTGAACATAAACCTCAAATCTAACACTCATAAAAAAGGTCAATAAAATTTCCTGKCACACCAAGCACTGCTTTACTATGTGTTAAACTGAACAGGGGAGAATTTAAATCTGCCACTGACCTGCATTAGCACTGGCCTAAACATCTTCATGTCCCATCGCAAAAAGTGTGACATTATCATGAATGAAATTACCATGAATGAAAGAAAAAAAAGTTTTAATTTGATCTGTGCATTTCCCTGGGTCACTCAGCTTCCAAACAGTTATGAGTATCTCTGAGTGTGATGTTCTCTCCAGAAGCAGGAGGAAAAAAAAAGGAAGTGGAAGAAAGGAGGAAAGGAGGGGAAAAAAAAATAAAAAAAAATGCTGAGAGTCTCCTAATATTTCAAGTTCTTTATCAGGAAAAAAMCCCAATCCATAGTACTACTATGTGGTATGCATGCTGTATTTTAAAGGATACTCATCAAACATGAGCATCCCTTCCTCCACGTTGAATCAAAACATCTGTTTCAACTATCTAATTAAAATAAGCAAAACAAATTAGAAAAAAAAAATCTCTACATGATGCCTAATGCCTACATGATGCGTTTACTGAACAGTAGGAGCATTATTTTGATAAGGAGTATAATATTCACCAAAATAGCTGCATCAGTATAATACCTTACACAGAGACTGTTTTCATTGTATAAAGAGTCTGTTCTCACAAGAAAAACAGAAAGAGCTGTTACTGTTCATACTGTTCAGCTCTACAGGAAGTATTACTAAGTATTTGTAAGGCACTATTTGTATTACCTCAGTTTCTAGAAGACGTACTCATGGCCCAGGGTAACACTGCACAAAATACATGAAGAAGTCTGTCCTTCTCCAAAATTAAGTTAAAATAGCACAAACTACAACATTATTTTGTTTAAAATCAGCTTTCCCTCCTCAGTGTATTGGGGCACAAAAGCGTATACAGCCTATAGCAATTTCTTAGAGGACAGGGCTCTCAAACATCTTCTCAGTCAGCATATGCTGAAGACTACTTGCCAACCTTGACATCGGTGACATGTTCTAATTGGTCTTACTGTTCTACTGAAGAAAAGTCCTGACAACTGAAATAGTCGGGAACCTTTCAACATCCACACTCATGTTTATTACTAGTTTATACCGATTTGTTTTCTGCTCACATTCCCAAGGTAACACTGACACACCTGGAGAAAGTGCTCACAAGCTCCCAGCCTTTGCTTTGCTCCAGTAAAGGGACTCTGTTCTTCTAGGTGTTTCCTCAAGCCCCAAAAGATGCATCTTTGTAGTGTTACCTGCGGCAGTCCAACTTTGCTGGACATACAGAACATTTAATAACAGGCTACACATAGTTCTGCAACCTATGCAGAACTATGCTGCAACACAGAAGCAACAAAACTTCCCTCTTTCCTTTCACAAGAGCAGCATTTTGGCAATTCAAAGGTATTTCATAATCGTTAGGTGCACCTCTACTTTTTCCCCAACTGTTTAGCCCTTAGATAATAAGAAAGTCGGAATAATAGTCATGTGGCAAAACCTTCTTTATTGCTCCACTTAAGTGCCACCCACATCTTAAACACCACAATCCTTCTCCATATCAAGACTCAACTTTGTGTGAGGAGCAAACTTCCAAACTAGACAATAAAAATGCTCTGTGAGTTCCTCTCTGGGAAATCCTTAGGCTGTTGCCACCCAACACAACCGCCTGGTTTGGCTCGTGCCTCCCGGAACCACCGGGAACCGGCAGCCCGGGGCCATGGACAGCGCTGGCTTCATGATTCCCGCTCTGAAGTCTACTGGCAGAGCTGCTTCCCTCTCCCTTCTGTCTCTCCAGTCAGATGGCTCCCMGAGCTGGATGTTTCCCTGCCAAGTGCAGGCTTTTCTGGAAAGCAAATGGAGCTCCTCAAACTGAACGCTGGAAAACTGCAAGGTCCTGTGAGATACCSTAAGCGAACGAGGGCCTCCCTTACCAAGATGCCCTGACCTAAGGAGGGCCTCCCTTGCTGCTCCTGTCAGCGGCGGCCAACGCGCGGGATCGCGCTACCAACCGCGCTCCGCGAGCTCCCGGGCTGTAAGCGGCGCACACGAGGCCACACGAGCCCCCGGGGGGGCTGCTCACCCCGAGCCAGACCCTCTTCCCCAACGCGAGGGCAGAAGCAGGTGCCGGTCCCAGCCAGATCCCGCCGCACGCGGGCCGCGACCCAGACCCGCCACCCCCGGCCCTCCGCCGAGGGAGCCGCCACCCCGGCGCGCGGCAGCCCCGCGCACCCCTTACCCCGCGGCGGCGGCGGCGCAGGAGAGGCGGTGGTGGTGACTTGGGCCAGCCCGGCCCCGGCCTGCGCGCAGCCCCACAGCAGCAGCCACAGCGGCAGCGCCGCCATCGCGGGGCCGCCGCCGCCCCGCGCGCACCAGGAAGCGCCGCGCGCGCAGGCGCCAACGGCCGCTAACGGCGGCCAACGGCGGCCAACGGCGGCGGGAGGGCGGGACGGGACAGGGGCGGCGCCCGGGGACGGGGACGCTCCGTGAGCACCCGGCGCTCGCCCTGCCCGTCACCGGCGGGTCTCTGTGGCGTCGTTGTGCAGCCGGCGGTCGTGCCCTTGGCCTCCTCTGCCACGGCCTGCCCGGTTTAAGGGATTAATGCCCTTTCCCCGTTCGTTTCCTCATGCGAGGAAAAGCAGGAAGCTCAGGGAGGGCATCCCTGTGGCACAAGCCCACTGTGGCAACTGGGTGACTGATGGAGCCCTTCTTTGGCCAGTTAGGGGATGTGGAATCATGGAATCGTGGTTGGAAAAGACCTTCCAGACCAAGTTCAGGCATAAACCACCATCCCTGATAACCCATATGTCCACAAGCGCGTCATCTACACGTTCATTGAACACTGCCAGGGATGGTGATTCCACCACTTCCCTGGGCAGCCTGCTCCAGAGCTTCACCACTCTTTCCATGTAGAAAATCTTCCTAATACCTATCCTGAACCTTCCCTGGTGCAACTTGAGGCCGTGTCCTCTTGTCCTGTCTGTAGTTATTCTGGAGAAAAGGTTGACCTCCGCTTCACTACACCCTCCTTTCAGGTAGCTGTAGAGAGCAACTAGGTCTCCCCTGACTAAACAACCCACATCTCCAAACTAAATAATCCCAGCTCCCTCAGCTGCTCCTCACACATCCCCCTCTGCTCTGGCAGCTAGCTCAGCACTAAGGAGGAGCAGGAGCAACCTCGTCTGCGGCAACATCGGTTGCTTGTGAACCTCTTGCACAAACGAGCTCTATCGTCTCAAACACATTCGTTAGCCTCGTGTAATGATACCATTGCCATCAATGCTTCTGGGTGAATGCGGATATTAAACCTTGGGAGGGTAGTTTTGGAGCTGGCTTGTGGGTGCCTGTAATCAGAACAGACCCCCCAGGGCTTTTGAGGTGTTTTCGCGAATGCAGTTGAGCATTATGGAGGAGTGAGGCGACTTCTTCAGCCCCACTAGCCCGTCTAACCTGAGGCACCTGACTCACCTTACTAAGGAGCTTAACCTCCATAATATCCCATATGTAAGATAGGAACAGCTCCAGAAAGCAGTTCAGAAGGGATTAGAATCAGGCCGGTGCCTGAAATTAAAGGAAACAAACCTGAGCCTGTGACTAGATGACCATCAAAGCTGGCCAGTGTTGTCTGCGCCAGGACGGCTTTTGGGGGGGCTCAGTATTTTCAGTGGGGCTGATTTGAAGAAGCCTTTGTCTTAATTGCAGTTTGAACCTATGAATTAAAAAGCTATCTGCATTTCATTTTGCCTACGTCATCTCTGGGCTGCTGCCAGCAGCATTTSAGTTTCCGCTTCTCTGTGTTCATGGTGTGGAGGGTGTTAAAAAAGCAAAGCCAAAGTGTGGGCAGTAAGGGCAATATGGAATGATACTGTTACCTGAGTTTAACATATGGCAATGCTGATTCATGAGGGCTTCAGTCTTCTGCTGAATTCTGCTTGTTAACCGTTTTTGCAGTGTGTTAAAGTCCACAGATGTTTATGTTCTGAATCACTTTTTTTTCATATTTCCATATTCCTGAATGACTTGGAACACGCTCTTGGGCTAATAAAGGCACAGAGAGGAGTTACAAAGACAATCAAAGATACCAAGGTGCTTCAGTAAATAGAAGCAATTCAACAGACCACAGTTAAGGCAGCAGAGATCTGCAAAACCAGGAATGACACAGAGAAGGTCAAGAGGGAACGACTGTCTTTTCTTATACACAACCTAAAGAGCATTGCACTCAATGCCCTTGCTCTCCAAGGCACTTGAGAACAAAAGTACTTAAAGTGCTTAAACTGTAGCTACATTGACAAACTGTCTCTGCATGTTAGGGACAGTAAAAGTCTACAATAGTCCAAAAAGACTGGACTTTCATTCCCTGAATGTGTGTATCAGGAATTATTAAATAGTGAGACACCACCTCTGAAGATGCCTGACCCACACAGCCAGAAGCTGTATGCTAAGGAAGGGCACTATATGCCTTCCTGTGACAATCTTAGACATCTGTTACTGACTGCCATTTCAGGCAAGATACTAAGCTAAAAGTGCCATTTGGTATGATTTTATATAGCTGTTCTCAGTCTTTTTTTTTTTTTTTTTCCTATTTTGAAAAAACTTATGTTTTATTGCATATAACTTCAGGCACTGAATTATTCCGGAAGCAGAGTGCAAGTCCTCAAGCTGTGTTTTTACGTGTTAGCTTCAGATAGTTTTATGAATGCCTTGAAGAATGACTTAACATAAAACAGYTCAAGTTTCAAGCCAGAGCTTGTAATTTTGCACTAAGTTACTTCTAGCTCGGTAATTCTAAAGGAGGTACCTTCTAGCTGCAGCAGAGTATGGGAGAGGTGGAAATAGGAGAATTGATGAGAGCTGAGCTCTTTGGAAGTAGGGTTACCTCCATCTTTTCTGATCTAGCTTTGTTATTCCTTTGGGGGACAAAATGTTAATATAATTTATGCACAGCTACTGTAATTCTCTCACAATTGCTAAACCTATTATAATGAATCACATTCTTTCTTGATTAGGTACCTATTCCCCCAGCAGATATAAGTTCACAGGAAATCCTGTATAGAGACATGAAAAAGTGATCTCCTATCAAGAAACTGGGTTGGGGTTAAGCCAAGCGTATTAAGAAGGCATGTTAAGTTAGAAAGGAAAAAAACAAAAACCTCGGAACCTAAACAGATTTTGCCTTTTCTGTTCCTGGGTCCACATCAAGGATGTTTCCATCAGATCTGCAGGCTGTGCCTGAGGTTTGGGACACAGGATTCTGCGCTGGCATTTCCAACAGCAGCGCTCAGCAGGGCCCCTTTCCCCATCTGCAGCCACCTCCTCCCTTGAGATTGGGCAGCTGAAGGAGTCACTGAAGGAGTCACAGCTGAACAGACAACAGGTTTGGCTCATAAGGACGTCTTGTCTTTTCTCTCGTTGGTTTATTTTTTCATTATTAACAGTGCTAACAATCTCAAAGGCGAAGTATCAGTTACCAAATCTTGGTGCATTCAGCTGATGCCCTTAATGAGGATGCTGGCTCACTGCCCTCAATGAGTTTACCTGAGTATAATGCAAGTAAATAATTCAAGGAAATGATTTGAATGTCACTTTTTCTCTCTTTTCCTTGCTGTGTTGGGCAGATGCCTTTGTGCTCTGCTACAAGGCCCTTCCTTCCGTCACATCATGCAGTGGAGCACAAAGGTAGCTTCAGGTTATGGTCTGAGGTATGGTTAGGTCAGCAGTGTCCCCACAAAAGGTATTTTGTGCTTCCCTCTTTCTGAATGTCTGTTCTTGTATCCAACACACACTGTGTGCTGTCCGAACACGAACATTTCCGCAGGCCTGGGGTGAGCTGATGCAGCTGAGAATGTTTCAGCTTAATCAGTGCTGCCTTATCTGAGTAGCTGAGCAGGTGGCCAAAGTCTGGTGCTAGCAGAGCAGGGGAGGAGTTGTGGGGAGAGGACTAATATCCTGGGAAAGAAGAGGGACCTCTTTCTTTCAGTAGGAATACAAGTTGAAATGCATATTGTATTACAGTTTCACTGAAGTTGTGCAAGAAAACAGCATGTGAGGTCAAGCACATATAATAGTTTCACTGAAGTTGTGCAAGAAAACAGCATGTGAGGTCAAGCACATATAATAATAATATAATAAGCTACAGGCCTTTGAGCAGGTATTTGCAGGGATTAGAGCGATGCAGGGTAGAGAGGAGGTGATATACTTCATTATGAAAATATATATATGCAAATATAATATAGTGCAAATATAATGCATTATATTGCAAATATAATGGCCAAAATTTCAGGTAAATGTTGAGATAAACCATAGATCAATTTAACCATTTAATGGTCATAACAATGCAGGCACCATCAGCTGAGTGCTGTTGGAACAGGCTTTTCTTCTTAGCTGAGGTGGGTCCTGCTGGCCTGAAAGTAAGAGTTGTGAATATACTTTTTTAAGGAACCCACATAGTTAATTATCTCGTGGCTATAGCTGACAGTATTAACCTCATCAGAAAAGGCACAAGAGCAGGTGAAGATCTCCTGCACCGGTTAATCAAGAGCTCTGCTGCGAAGCTCTTCAGATGGAGGATCTGGTCTCCAGCCGGACTAGCTGAGCGGCTCCTAGACCTCCAGGGAGCCACTGGCCTCAGAGCAGGCGGCGGGTAGGCACAGACACAGGTCCTACCCCAGCTCTTGCCCAGCTAGGTGGGCAGGAGCACAACACAGACCCTCACAGAGGCAGGAGGGTCCTGTTGCACTGCCAACAACTCCGCTGGATTAGGTTGTTTAAGTGTTTAAGTATTAAGTTGTTGGTTTAGAAAATATTGCTTGGCTCTCATTTGACAGGCCTTATCTAAAATCTGGAAGATTCCTTTTGTTAAAACTGATATAGAACAACTAACAACTTACTGCCAAAGTACTGAAGAAGTATTTACCCAACAGCTGCCTCATTTAGACARTTTTCTAGAACCACGTTTTCCCTCAGCATTTCACAATCTATATCATATGAGTTAACATACAGGTTAAGTCAGACACTGGATCTTATTTCTGATACTGTATATTTACCATCACACCTGTTTTAGCTTTTCTCCCCAGTGCAGTGGGCTCAGGGCTTGGTTTACGATCTTGCATGTCAGTGCTACAGTCTTTTCAAACCTACCTCACTTATCCGCTCTGATTATTTTCAATATAAACTGATAGTACAATAATTTGTTCCCTGAATCAATTATGAAATTAAAAAATCCTAATACTAAAATGTCCTGCTGTGGCTTTGATCCGTCTTCCCCTAACCTTTCCCTTATTTCAGAGTAACTAAGAAATGGTTGTACCTCTATCTAATTACTTACCAG